CAGTCAAAGGTGTGTGCCAAGGTGAATGCACGTATTATTCGATGCGTCTAATTCAGGTCTATCCGTGGACGGACAATTCGTCACAGATTTAATTAATTGTAATAAGATTACGAAAATATACAGGTAGATGAGAAAAGACGTACATCTCATGAAAATAACTATGTTTGTAAACAATTAACGAAATCTGGTGTGACAAACTTAGCATGAATTGAGTCAACGGAAAACCTGTACACCGTCGAGTAGTGTAGTTTTTATGATTAGTTTTCATTTAGGGCGTCCCACGTAAGGAATTTCCTCGATTTAATAGATAATAAAAACAACTATTAGTATTTTACTCTATATATGCAATCAAGTAGTAATACTAACTGAAAAGGTGATCTATCAAAAAGATCTGAAATGCGAACGGATCTCCATTTCATAAGGAAAACATGTGAATTTCTATTCAGAATAACTAACATATTTTAAAACAAAGAAATATTTAGTAAATGAACTATTGCAAAATATATGAACATATTCGTGGATTATTTAATCAGATTAGAAGACTCCTTGGCCTTCGATTTGATCAATGATACTAAAAACGAACTAACAGGTTAAAGGGATGGGACTGTTTGATCACGAGAAAGTAATGTTTCACTTTGGAAGGCTCTGAAAAACTTTCTTTTTAGGGTTTAAAAGCTGTTTGACTTTTGGTACTTTGATAATATCTCCTCTTCTATTTTTTCCAATTTGTTCAGATTTTTTTGTTGGTAATACCACTAGAATTCTAGGTTTTACTTTACACTACTAAAGGAGTTGTTAGCTAATGTAGTCTTTGCATTAATTAAACTACATACACAGTTGTGTGAATCAATAACAGATAATTTTTCAATGTAAATTAATTATAGTATACATGTGCGACGAATTGTCCGTGTGCCGTTCTATCGAATGAGACATTAGAGAATGCTATTTGACACATCTATGTCGTGCTATGATGCTAGTAACTAAACAGATCTTCTTTTTTTTCATGGACTTTTTTCAAGATTGCTGCTTAACTATGTGCCAAAGCTGCAACGTGTTTCATTCGACAGATTTTATCTCACTGTACTCATTTATGTACAATTTAGTTCTATTTTTGCTTCATTGTTCGAAATTCCACCGTGAAAACAAGATACCTCGCTTATGTTATTTAATTTTATTGAAAGTATGGATAAAGAGAACGTTTTTCAACATCTGGAGTAAAAAAATGTTTAAACAATATGAATACATACAGTTAAGAAAGACAAACATGATCCATTCATATATACATGCAGTAATGTGTTATGATACAACTACATTATCAACAAAAGTAGAGAAAAAAAACGAGAGTATGAAGAAGAAGTTTACTCGACTAGAGAAGAAACAATTGATAAATAAGTTGAAAAATGATAAACTCTAGTCGTCGTCAACATTCTTCATTTCAATAGCATAAACAGCCGTCTCGACAGCATCGTTACCACCTTCGTTGTGTTTCACGCCAAATTTGTACAAATCATCATATTTTGCAAATCGTCCTTTGGCATAAACAATACTAGCAGTAAAGTGATCTGCTCGTGGACAAATCGCTCCTGCTAGATTGTAGCTAAAATCAGATTTTACTTTTATTTGGAACTTCTTGTATTATGATTCAATAACTCACCGTTGTTTTCCAATGATAATTACATACGGTAAATCTTTTACCAACGTTTCTACGGTTTGATTCTTGTCGGTGTTGATTACACTTTGTCCAACATTCAAAAGTACGATTGGTGGTGGCTTATAAACAAACCGACTCGGTTCAGCAATTCGTTTGGAGTCGCATATAAACATGGTTCTAAATCATCAGGTACGAAAGATCAATTTTTAGGTGCATCAATCAGTTTTACTCACGTTACACCATTACCATCTTTAGATGGAAAAAAATCATCTCGACTATATGAACCGCTGTACGACGTTGGCTCATTAGGACCTATTGTAGCACCACAATTCGTCGTTGATCGTTCGGAAAAACTTGGTAAATTAATTATACGACGATTACGGCCAGTAAGTCGTCTAAAGAGAATATCGATCATTAGCTTTGAAAAGAGATTCATATGAATAACGAAGCTTACGGCAGACTGATGTCGACCGAATGAGACTGTCTCACCAACTTTGGACAATCTGGACATATACAGGTCGATTCGATAACATACTTTTGCATCTCTCTTAAAAATTGGAAAACATTGGTATCAGCAGTTCCATATACATCGATATGAGCACATTTTGCTACTGGCTTTGGATAGACTTCATTCATTGTAAGCCAGTGTAATCTTGCAAAATCCCAACCATTTCGTTCAACCAGATCGAAAACGTTGCGTAAGTTGCGACAACCGGTGATGTCCCGATCGAATGCAGAACGAAAATCTTCCGAATGTGACATATAAATGTAGTAAAGCAAGAATAAGGACGAATCCAGTGAACATGTATTTGAGACTGAATATCGATCGGTGGCATTAATAAAAGTTGGTCCAATATTGAAATGAGGAAATCGTAATTGCAAGTTTCCAATCGCCGTATGTGTTGGCCATTTTTTTGGTAAACGAAATTCGATAATTTGCTTATCATTTTTATTTACATGGCGTGTTTTTTGTGATGTTGTTTGTGCAGACTTATGTTCAGGAACATTTTTTTCGTCGGCATTCGTTTCGCACACATTGTCAAATGTTTCTTGTCGATTGCTTTGACAATTAGGAGCAGCCGAATTGATATTATCGATTTCATGAGAATTAACAGGTAGCAATGCATTCGTATTCGAACTTAATTCTTCATATGTTTCGCAATGTTCGCTAATTTCAACATGCTGAATTGGCTCAGGAACTTCTTCCTCTTCAATTGTTTTCGAAATGTCTTTAGCCACGGCATTCTCATTGTTCTTGGAAGCACTTCTTGAATAGAAAATCAACGATTCACGAAACGGTTATGTAAAAGAGATCGTTTTAGGGAGAAAAGAAACTTTTTTTCTCGATCGCACACATCCGTTTCTATACACACTCGCTACTGCTGATGATGGAAGAAGAAAGTATACGATGACAAGTATTCAAGTCATCCACACGTGCCGTATGCATTACTTTACTTACCCGTCATGCTGTGGATCGATTGCCAGAATGTCTGTCAAATTCTGTAGATCATAAATATCATCCCATCGATCTTTTCGCATTCTAATATTAAGAGAAATCATGAATTCATATATATACAATAGTACAATGGAGTTCAAGACTTACTGCAACTTCTCACGTAATCGACTACGAATGTCGCTTGGCACTAACTTTTGTTCAACATATTTTGAGAAATACGTAGAGCGACTTGCAATCTCTGTTCCCTGTTTTTTCCATTGTTCTACGGACAACGTTGGGTCAACTTGGTCAGGTTGCTGTTTCTTACGTCGACCACGTTTCTTCGATCCAGTTTGTTGAATGTTGAACTGATTCGCTTTAAGTCGAGCGTTTGTCGTCGAATACAGTTCGAGTAAAAACTCGCCCGGCCGAAGATTGGTTCGGTGCCGAAGAATGGAGTGTTTCAGGATCTTAAAAAATGATTCAATTGGTGCATTTGACATACGACCGCCCGACAGTAACTTTGGCATTGTTTCGATAGTAGTATCGGAAGCATACCTGTAAGTAGTAATTGATTTAACAAAGATTTATTGAAAGGGTATCCCTAACCGTTCTTGAAACTTATGCATAAGACCAGTGAAAATCGGCAAATAGGCAATCCATTTATACAACGTTTTGATTAATGCTTCCGAGAATAAAGGATTCTTTATGGTTTTTTCTTTATTCTTTTTCGATTCATCCATAAGTTGAGATAATATTGGTGACCGTTCACGTGCTAATTTCGTAAATGGAGATTGATGAAGAATCGGTTGTGACGAAAGGAAAACGTCGTCTAATTCAGCCAATTCTTGTTCCATTAACTCTTCGGTCTTTGAGACATCCTTATTTTCGAAAAATTCTTCCAATTCTGAGAGAAAACTAGCACTAGCCTGAAACGGGAATCGATTTACAAAACGAAATTGTCGTAAAAAAGCTAATACCTGGAGAACTTCATCAAGGAGTTCTTCTGCCGTTACGTAATCAGGCGAACCGAATATGAGTACAATACAACCGATGAGTTCGTAGCATTGTGCAAGTTCATTGCAGTTGATTAAAACACCAAATAACTTCATGACTTTCCGACGAATGCCTTTGTTGAATTTGATTTTCGATAAAGATCGTGCAAAAGCATTCATGACGTGTGCACAACAAAATCGTATGCAGGACATCAAATTCAGTTGATCAGATGTATATTTCTTGTGAAGTGCATTGAAACACCATTGTAAATAAGATTGAATATTGGTATGATCAAAAGTTAACAGTATAGCATTCAATAATGCTGGAGAAAAATCAATAACGATGTAACTAGGTCGAACAAATCGACCTTTCTTGACAGTTGCAATACCTCGACGAACAATTGAAAGCCAATTACCAATTGATGTAGCTGAATGATCGGTTAGCAGAGCACCAGCAAGTGGCAGTAAATTACAAGCACCTTGACCATCTTTGAAACAAATCAGATATAAATAAGGTTTACGTTGTTTTGGAATTCCTTTGACAACAGAACCAGTCGCATCAATGTGAATAGTTGAATATTTTGTTGATGAGCAATAATCAACATATTGAAGTAATTGTGCTTCAGTATAAAAGATCGTAGCAAATGGCCAAAGTTGAAGAACTTGTATGTAACCTAAACACATTATACTCGAACAATAAAGTATATTATGCAGATATGAGAATGAAATTACCTTTGTTCTGAATATGAGAGGTTTTATCTGTTTCTCTCATAGAAAACAATAACATTTCCAAATCAACAAAGATATCTTTATCGAGATGCTTTGCGTCAGATTGTTCTTTTACAGCTGTTGCAAGCACATGTGTCGTTGGTACATCGGTATAGTTATTAAATTTCAAAAGCTCATCGTCAGCATTAAGTAAATTCTTTTCGTACGTTACCAAAATACCTTCTTCTTTTGCTTTTTTAGCTAAATCGAACGCAAGGATGATCGCTTGACAAATTCAACCGATACAATGACTTACCCATTCGTGCTCGCTTGATACCTGCCAATGGACGTTGATTGCATTCAAATGGATTTTCATGTCGTGGAGTACCGATAATTTCTACCCGAAAAACAACTGATTGACCAGGTGAAATAATGTTAAGTAGTTTCATTTTCACGATCAATGAACAAGTGGAATTTGAACATTGACCAACGCAATGAAATAAAGGTGAGTTGTGTTTTCGAGAATACAATTTTCGAAGTGATGAATCCGTGAAAACAATACAGCATTTGGTCAAGTGTGCGTCCTTTAATTTGTCGTAAAATACATCAGTCCACGATGGATCCATATTATGAGAAAGAGATTTAATATCCTTTTTGTAAATCTAAATAAAAAGAATGACCATTAGAAATTCAATTAACGAATTTGCTTCTGTTTGCTTCGTGGGAAGCAATACGTACATTAGACCATTCGTCGGAAGAAAATTCAATTAAGTGCTGTTGAGACTTATTATTATCAATGTTTGTACCTGACGAGTCGGCTGCTTTTGGTCGTGTACGAGTTTTAGTTAAACTTGAGATTGGTGACAATTGTTCAAGACCATTTCTTTTCGGTTTTGACGATGGTTTCTTAGGTTGTTTAATAAAATGAGATCGAAGATTTGACGATTCACGACTCCATGCCGTGTAGATATATTTTCGCACACGAAGATCATTCTTAATCGATAATCGAGCAGATAAATCAGTCGCCAATCGAGACCATAAAGAATTGATTGATCTCCATTGCTTATCGTCGTCCAATTTGGATGATTTATCACCAAGACGTGTAACAGCATTGATTAATTCATCCAATGGAATGCTGGTCTTGCCACGCTTCTTCCCAGTTTTCTTTGAACGTCTAATCATTGTGATTTTCTTTGAAAATGAACAAAACGTGTTCACCTATACGTGTATATATAACGTGTTGATTGCAACGTCTTTTCAAAATTCAAAATTTTCCTCTTCTCTCCCAACGTATATTTAACAATTCAAATACAGAACACACGTGAGTGAAACAAATTTCCTCGTTGCTTGAAAATGTATTTTCATCAAAAGGAAATATTTCTGTCAATCCAACGGATTGGTTACATTGGTGTAATGCGATAATCCTTATGATCAAACAAATTCGAATTCATATTTCTATCTGAGTTTTCATCAATGACTAGCACTACTCGTAAACTCATCCATTATATGATAGGATTGCACAAGCAATTCATGCCAGGAAACAGGCGAATTAGATGAAAGAATAATAGAATAATATTTTCAACTTATAATCCATTGCCGTCAATACAATCGGATCAATAGAATTAGTTTAAGTCTATGAAAAAGAATTCTATTCTGATTGCCAGCTTTTCAATCAAACTGGCAGGTAGCTCTTTCAGCAATGATTGTGCTCGTCCAATCTTTCATGACCTGACAAAGAAAACAACTGTTTATACTTTATCAGATAGAAAACAGTGAGATCGATATGACGATACACCTTTTCATGTTGGCACAAAAATAAGTTCGAATAGAACAGGTGAATACTCAACGACAAATTCACCTGTTGACTATTTCAGTTGATAAACAAGTTCATATAGTACGAAAAACACCAATCCTATACATCACTCCATGGAGAAAAACGAGACCTACCAAATTACGCATGTATTGGTCTTGGCGCAACCTCCCACTTGAATCTATACAGTAATTACTGAATACAAGAAGTCTTTTGAGTTTCCAACGTGCTTTACCTGAGAAGTTGTCACAGATAACGTTCAATTATATCTCATTCGATAGACCTGAATTAGACGCATCGAATAATACGTGCATTCACCTTGGCACACACCTTTGACTGAATATCGATCATGAATTCTCATTTATAAGCATACCTATTGACTTTTGAACCTTTATCACCTTCAAAATAGTATTTGTGTCACTAAATTATACTGCATTCGAAAGAACTAGACGAGATGAACAAAATGGCATGCATTTCAGTACTGGCACACACTTCATCATAAATAAGAAACATGAGTACTTGATAATGAAGACATGTATTGTCTTCCAAGCATGCTGCATGTCACAAAATAACACGGAGAACAGCAAATGATACATCATTCGATAGATCTCTCGATGGACTATCCAACCATGTATCGTTGAACCTTGGCACACCTGTTACGGTGAACAGGTAGATGACATCCTTTTCATCAAGCACAGAACATGTGTTTTTGACATCCTGAGATACAAAACCTGAATCAGTAATGCTTGATCATACTCGAAATGATAGAACTCAAGGAGAGCTATCGATTGATGCAAAGATCGGTGTTGGCACATGTTCTCTCGCGAATCCGGA